AAGACATAGGAAGGTGGCTCACCAAGATTTCGCAATCTTGTGCCTATGTACCCTCATAGTGCAATGAGGAAGTCAAACCCTAAGTAGTTCAAGGAACTAACACTAAAAAAGAAAAGGGAAAGAGACGGCGTCAAAGCCAAGAACCAAAATAGAAAGCAAGACCCAACCAGGGAATTCAAAAGGAATGGTGTCAACACCAAGAAAGAAAATGAAAGAAAACTCTGTTGAGGAACGCATAAGCAAAGAAAGAACTCTGTTGGGGAATGCAGAAGAAAAGCAATGACTCCACTGGGGAGAAAACAAAAGAATGGAGACGTGGTCGGGGAAGAAAGGAGTAAAGAACAAGAATCAAAATAAAGGTAAGATCCACGGAGGACTCGGTGCATTAACTGGTAAGCAGTGATTAACCAAAGAAAGATAAGAGTAAGGTTTACAGGGAGAGCAAAAAGGTTGGTCTCAACAGACGGACTGTGACGAACCAAGCGAAAGAGAGTATTACACCAAAGGGAGGTGTTTGACTCTGAGGGGAAATTAGTATATTAACTGATAAACAGTGGTTAACCAGAAGGAGAAAGGAACTGGTTTTAACCAATAAACGGTGATCAACCAAGAGACGGGTGTGGAACCAAGCAAAGATTGTGACCCAAAGAACGACACATTGACTGAACAAACAACACTTGGCCAAAGGAAAGGGGTATTCGAACCAAACAAAGGTTACTGACCCAAAGCTGGCAGTGTTTGAACCAAAGAAAGGTTGCTAACTGCAGGGAGTTTGATGCTTAACAGACGGACTGTGATTAACCGAAAAGAATGAGTGATTAACCAAAAGAAGGTGATTAACTCAAAAGAAACTCAACATCTTAACAGGCGGGTTATGGTTAACTGAGAAGAAGGGTGATTGGTTTAAACAGGCAGACTATGATTGACCAAAATGCGGGTGATTAACCAAAAGAAGGTGATTAACCTAAAGAAAAAGATGGTTTTAACGGGAAGACCATGCTCAACTAAAGATCGGGTGATTAGATGGAAGAAGGTGATTAACCCAAAGTAAAAGCTGGTATTAACAAACGGGCTGTGATTAACCAAAGATCAGGTGTTTAGCCGGAGAGAGAACCAAGAGAAGGTTGTGAACTCTGATGGAGATTAAGTTTTAACAAGATGACTGTGTAAACCGAAGAAGAAAGACTGACTTCGCTGGGGAAGAACAGAATTGGCTTTATCCAAAGAACGGTTGAATAGCCAAGGAAGGAAGTGATTATAAATATATGGGGAACCAATAAGGGATTGGCCTCAAGAGAAAAGAGTGTTGAATTGAAAGGAGGAAGTTACTTCCAAAGAAGAGATAAGGGTGCAAGTGATCAAGGATCGATTCGACTAGAGAAAGCAGGGATACCACAATAAGGAGATAGAGGCGACTATTCCAGGCAAAGAGTCATTTGTCTCCTACCCAAAATAGTCAGAATGAGTGTAGGAATTCTCCATTCTCATTCCTTTTCTAACACCAAAGTGTGGTGCGAGAAACGAAACGGGCAACACAACGGTGCCAAGTTTTTATAGTGCTCCAATGCATTGCGAATCTTCAACTCCATGGGGGGAAAAGAGAGCACCAAGCTCTAGAATATCCAAAGGAGAAGAAAAAGGAAGGGTCGACTAATCGAAACGAAGTTTCGATTAATCCATCCAAAGGGAAAGATGCTAACAATTTTCCAAAGGGATGAAAATTGTTGAAGTAAAGGATGAATTATTGATTATACAAGATTGAGTTCAAACCCATGAGGAACACACTTAATGAAAACATGAATGGAAGTGTAAAATAGTACCAAATGCAATTAATATGCACCACCAATCATGTAGCATGTGATCAAAGAATGTGCAAGAATGATCATGATCATACAATGTCAAAAATGCAAATAATCGAGAATCGACAAATCACACATTGAAAGTTTGCATACATGCTTCAAACAAAATTTAAACAACTCAAAAAAAATATCCACAAATGTCAATCATATCGAGCCATGGAAGTTACATGAGGAAAGAATAGCAAACAAGCTTGAAAATAGGCACACAAAAAAAGCCAATCTGTCGCTGTGGTAACCGGTTACCATATGCATGTAACCGGTTACCTGCTTAAAGTTTGCAAAAACACGTGAAAATTGTGCAGGGTAACCGGTTACCCTACTTTGCCTAGAAAAGTGGTAACCGATTACGACTCTGACAGTGGCAAAAACAACTTTTTGAAAAAGCACTTTCAGCAACCAAAAGACTTATCTGAACCTCCACATGCCATGATTAACACTTGAGCACGAAAAATGAAGTTCAAAATAACTTAGGCATCAACTAAACATCAATTGAAAGCATTAAACATGAAGATAAAAGATCAAACAATCACATGATCAATCAACACTGGTAAATGATCGAACTACATCGTAAATGCGCGAAAGTGATCAAAACAGTAAATCAAGTGCGAATTACCAACCTACAAGGCGGAGGATTGCCTTGGTGATTGTTTCTATTGATATGTGATGAGAAATAAGCAAAGAAAACCAGAGAATTCCAAGCTTGAGTCAAATCATAGTGAAATCAATAAAAATACGATAAATACTCCGAATACTGATTTGCACCGAAGAAGTTTAAGATGATTACTTGAATTGGAGAAGAATATACTGTAAATCCAGAAATCCAAGTAAGAATATGGTGGAATGAGGTTTAGCTCAAGATAATAACAATTTCGATGTGAAGATTGTTACATTCTAATGGTGGAAATTGAGCTTTTGTGAGGGTTTTTGAGAGAGGATGAAGATGAATGTGAAAATGTTGTAGAAAATTCAGAGAGAATGTAAGAGAATTGAGAGTGAAGAATGTAGAAATTGAGAAAATGATTGAATCCCCTTGTGAAATGGTGGTGATTTGCTTATATAGAGTTTTGCTTCGGAGTCGCTAGGTTTGGAGTAAGCTTTGGATGCAGCCTTGGAACTAGCCTTGGAGTTAGTTAACCTCAACTCAGTGAGTTGAGGTTAACTTAGTTAGTTAGGTAGTTGACTCAGTAACCATCCCAATGCAAACTTGAATCTAAGGGCTCACATGCTTGAGAATGAAGCAACATGGCGGTCTTAATTTAAATTGATGTATTGGAGCAAATGCCTTGAAGTGTTTAGAAAGGTCTTGAATTGTCTAGAGATGTCTAGAATGTTCCACATAATGTTAGAACCAAGTAGACCCCCAAAATGTATAGTGAAAGTGGCTGTCAAAAAAAATGCAGCAAAAACTGCATTTTTACACAGGATAACCAGTTACCTTACTTTGCCTAGAAAAGTGGTAATCGGTTACCACAAGCAAAACTTGCATATTTGCTTGGAAAATGGTGTTGCAATCATGGTTCTGATTTTCGACCTTTTGCTTTGATTAACAGGCATAGAAACCTTCATTTTTAAGCTTGTTTTGATGAAGTGATATCTTTGAGGGGATGTGATTAATCGGGCTTGCAAAACCTGAATATTCCTGCAACAAAAATCACAGAAAAAAGTGTGAATGCGTATGCCAATGATGCGAATGCACGTGCTTATGCAAAAGGCAAGAAGGAGGTCAAATTTTGGGTTACGACAGCGGAGACACGTCATCAGGAAACTACCCATTTTCGAAAGAGATGGTCAACCCACCTTCCAAAGATCACGGGACAATTGATCCAGGGCGAAGACCACGTGTTGGTCTTCCCTACGCCACATAAGCCCTGACAGTTACTCTATTGAGCCTTGTAATCCAGCCCAATGCCAAGTAATCGTTGGCTCTGCGTTTGGGGCACATTATAAATACCTTCTTTCTCGTGAAGGTCAGGTATTCTATTCTTTACACCTATTCTCTTTGTACTTGCGCTTTCTAACTCCGTTACTCACTTAAGCATTAGAGTAACTTACAGGTACACCTCCTGCTCCTCTACATCATTGGTGGTCACGGGAGCTTACGACGCATAGCAGACTGTTGTTTTCTTTCTAATCAAGTAAGATCAAATTTGAATAATTCTTGATTAAAGTGACAATTAACTGTGCTCCAATTATCTAACCAGTTTTATTTACAAATAATTATGTTAAACCTAACAAAAGAGTAAATATCACCTTTCCTTTTATTGATTCAAATATAATAACTATCATTAGTGTAAGTTGCATCAGCTCATTTTAAAGGATACAATTAAATGTAATAGCTACCATTAACAAGCATACTAAGAGCTAAGGCTAACCTACCCTTAACATATAATTTAATATCTTTTGGTACAATACATTAATATTGGGTATTAAAAGTTTTTCAATTAAAAAACACTTTATAACTTTCCAAATTGAACATTTTACAAATTCAACCCAATATTTTTAAAATTCCTATTTTAAATCAACCTTCATTATTTCGTTTATACTTTTATCTCAGAAAATTTTATAATTTTATGATTATAGTTAAAAAAAATTTTAAAAATGATTTATCCTTTTCATAAAAATCTTCAAACATAGTAACATATTATTTTGATATCAAATTTAAGATTTTTATTATTAAAAAATAAATAAACAAAATAAACATGGAAAACAAAATAAGGATTTAGAGAATCCATAATATAACAAAAGAAATTGATTTTTTACTAGTAGTTACAAGATAAGGATACTTTAAACTTATACCCAATCAACATATACCAAAAGAAGTTAAATTTATCCAAGTCAAGTCAAGAGAATTAGAGAAGTCACAAAATCACAAAACAATAAAAAGTGATTGTTTTATAAATGAGAACCAAACACAGCCTTGAACAGTATACATTGTACAAAAGAAATTACACATGTTCTATGCATTCCATTTTCCTTAGTCCACAACTACCACCTTCAATCTTTGATCTTTCTACCATTACACACTAACCTTCTTCCATTTTCTTCATCTAATTCATCTCCTTCAATCCTCCATTTTTTCTCTCTGCAAATGAAGCACAAAACACCGCAACCCACCTCCACCATTAATTTCCATTCTCTTTAATGAAGAAACCACCTTCTTCCACCGTCATCACGTATCTCATCACCGTCACAGCTTTAATTATCTTCTGTTTTTCACCGTTTTCCCATGCTTTAGGCTCCGGTACTACTCTCTCCGTCACCGACTCACCTGCCACCGTCTGCGGGATCATATCTGGTCAGTCAACACAGAGCATTCAGTGTTACCGTCAAGGACAGGTCTCCGCCTTCCCCATCGCTCCCAACGTTTCGTTTTCTTCAATCTCCGGCGGGAAAAGCTACTTCTGTGGCCTTAGGTCCGGTAACTACAGTTTACATTGTTGGGATAGTTCATCTTCCTTTCAAAGTAAAAGACTTTACTTTAACGACTCTGTTTTATTAGAGAATCTTGCTGTTGGAGATTCCCAGGTTTGTGCCACGGTGGTCGGTGTTGGAACGGTTCGATGCTGGAGAACCAGCGACCGGTTTGAACCACCATCTGGGTCGGATCAATTTGGTTCGATTTCATCTGGGTCGAATTTTTCTTGTGGGATTTTGAAAAATGGTTTACAAGTTCGGTGTTGGGGAGAGAAAACTGTTGCGGAAGGGTTGCAGAATGAGTTTAGGAACATGTCTATGTTGAGTATTGTAGCTGGTGGTTCGCATGTTTGTGGGTTAAATTCAACTGGTTTTTTGGTTTGTAAAGGAAGTAACAGTTCTGGACAAATTGATGTTCCACGAGGTGGTGCTTTTGAGTATGGTGAATTGGCACTCGGTGATGAACATGGCTGTGCTATCAGAAGATTGAATGGTTTTGTTGTTTGTTGGGGTGGAAAGGGACAGTTTTCGGCGAATTTTGTTGAAAGTGTTTCTTTTGAGTTAATTGTTTCTGCTTCGAATTTTACTTGTGGGTTGACAACAACCAATTTTTCGGTTATTTGTTGGGGACCTGGTTGGTCTAATGGATCAAATGGTTCTGAGTCGGTTCTTCCTTTGTCTCGGATTCTTCCGGGGCCTTGTGTTCAATCTTCTTGTAGTGAGTGTGGAATTTATCCTGATTCTCAATCGTTGTGTTCTAGCACGAGTCATCACATTTGTAAGGCGAATATATGTAATACTCAAATAACAAATCCGCCGCCACCGCCAGTTCAGCCTCCACCTCCAGTGTCTCCTCCTCGGTCGTCTCGATCGAAGACATTGACAAGAGGCTTATTGGCATTCGCAATTGTTGGATCAGTTGGTAGTTTTATTGGTATATGTTCCATAGTTTATTGCTTATGGAAAGGTGTTTGTTTTGGTAAAAAGAAAGTTCACAATTCAGTGCAACCAACAGTCACAAGAGGTAGTAGCAACAGTTCAAATACTAGCTCATCTTCGATTAAATCGGTCATTATGCGTCAAGGTTCAAGAATAATGAGGCGACAGAGGAGTGGACCTTCGACAACAAAGCATCAAGAAAGGGCAGAAGAGTTTACTCTCTCCGAGCTTATAGCAGCTACTGACGGTTTCTCATTCCAGAACAAAATTGGTGCAGGAAGCTTCGGTATTGTGTATAGAGGAAAACTAACAGATGGTAGCGAGGTAGCTATTAAAAGAGGTGAAACAGGTTCAAAGGTTAAAAAGTTTCAAGAGAAAGAAAGTGCATTTGAGTCAGAATTAGCCTTTTTGTCGCGATTACACCACAAACATTTGGTTAGACTAGTTGGTTATTGCGAGGAGAAAGATGAGAGGCTTTTGGTTTACGAGTACATGAAGAATGGTTCATTGCATAGTCATTTACATGATAAGAACAATGTAGAAAAAAGTAGCAGTTTGTTGAATTCATGGAAAATGAGGATCAAAATTGCTTTGGATGCTTCAAGAGGAATAGAGTATCTGCACAACTACGCAGTTCCTTCAATAATTCATAGAGATATTAAGTCCTCGAATATTCTTCTTGACTCAACTTGGACAGCGCGAGTATCTGATTTCGGATTGTCGTTGATGAGTCCAGAAGCGGATATCGATTACAAACCAACAAAAACCGTAGGAACGGTTGGTTATATTGATCCCGAGTACTATGGTTTGAATTTATTAACGGCAAAAAGTGATGTATATGGACTCGGAGTTGTATTACTAGAATTATTAACAGGAAAAAGAGCTATATTTAGAAACGGTGAAGATGGAGGAAATCCATTGAGTCTAGTCGATTTTGCAGTGCCTGCTATTTTGGCCGGTGAATTGGCGAAAATTTTGGACTCAAGAGTTGGATCACCGCGGGAGAGTAACGAATCGGAGGCGGTCGAGTTGATGGCGTACACGGCCGTGCATTGCGTGAATTTGGAAGGGAAAGATAGACCAACGATGGCTGATATTGTTGCGAATTTGGAGAGAGCATTGCTTATTTGTGATGGTGGTAGTAACAATGAGATTGAAAGTATTTCCAGTGTTACTATCTCTGTTGTTTCCGATTGATTGAAAACCAAATATTGAAAATTTGTTTCATTGTTTATCATCTAACATTAACATGTAGAATTTTGTGATACTACTGATTTCTAATTTCTAACCAGAATAAAAATCTATTTTGGCAAAAAAAATTTCAAGATGTGAATAATTAAGAATTGGAACATTTTCACGTGAATATTATTATTAGTTTAAGAAAGGAGGAGAAGGTGAAAAGTTAGAACAAACTACAAAGAGTTATACGAATTGGTTTGATCGTAATAATTTGGTCTGATTTAGACAAGGAAACAACATGTGAAAAAAGGGTGTGAACACAGTTTGGAGCATGAAAACAGTATGATGAAATACAAGTATGTTTCTTCCTTTTCTTTCATCAGTTCAGTGGTTGGTTGGTTGTGCTGTTTGAGCCCCACACAGCTACGTAGTTAATCCGTTTTCTCAATGGTCCCCTCCTCTCTGCAGCACATGCTAGTGGTTATGACTACTTTTTGTTGCTCTATTTGAAAGGTTATTTATGACTTAATTCCACTTTGGACACAAATGTTGACCAAATCAAAGAAATTTAATTGCGTATTTGATTCTTTATTACACGGCAGGGTTGGTTTTATTATAGTTATTAGCCATCCACAAATTTTGAATTGACAAGTATTTTTAAGAAACTATGCGTCAGAAGAGTTGTATATACAAATATTTTAATTCAAGAATGTCAATTTATATCTGATAAAGAAATTTTTACGAAGAATTCTCCGTTTGAAATTTTAAAGATGAAGAATTTTTTACTGCGAGAATGGGGATGGGGTACAAAACCCATCCGAAAACAATTTGGTGACGAGAATGACGGATATCCTTGACTAACGATGGCTGATATTGTTGCGAATTTGGAGAGAGCATTGCTTAATAGATTTATTTGTATATAGATTTATTTGTTATTTTACATAAACTATTAGTAAAAAACCCATAAGTACCCACGGATTTTGATCAGTTATGTGTATTTTTGTTCACAGATATTAGATGTTGTTGTTTATTAAAATTGTACACAAATTATATATAGGAAATTAACACCATTTAGATTAACAATACACTTTTTTAATATATTATTTTTGTTTAAATATCGTTTATAAAAATATTTAAATTAATAGTAAAAAAAATTATTTATAAAAGTAACTCCGATTATTAAAATATTTGAATAAACAATACAATGTTTACTTATATAAAAAGAATTTGTGTAGTATCTTTTATAAAAAAATTGAAATTTTAAAACAACATTAAATTTTTTCCTGTATATAAACATTTGTTGTTTATAAATTTATTTGGATCAATAATTTATTTTTTTCTATTTATAAGATATTTGTATCAATATTAGATTTTTTTCTGTTTATAAAATTATTAATATTCTGGCCTAGGCCGGGAAGGCCCATCTCACCTATACTTGGGAAAAGGCCCAAAGGGGCCTTCCTCATAGGTGTCGAGCACAAGGCTCCCGTCGACCAGACATTGCCTTGCCGGGCAGAACGCTTCCCCCGTCGGACAGAAAGACATGTGCCTCCCACGTTCTCCACGTGCTCCCCTCCGCGGGGACACGTCACCAGACAACTACCCACCTCCGAAAGAGCAGGTCAGCCCACCTTCTGGAGATCACGGGGCAGTTGACCTAGGGCGAAGACCACGTCCTGGTCTTCACTAAGCCACGTAAGCCCTAGCAGTCCCTTGAGTTGGGTCTGTCAATCCAGCCCAACACAAGTGACCGTTGGCCCTGCGTTGTGGTCTCACTATAAATACCCTCTTTCACTAGAGGGTCAAATATTCAATTCTCAACCTTCTCTTTGTATTTGCTTCACTCTAGTCCTCTCTCATTTTGGCATCAGAGTGTCTTGCAGGTACCCCATCCTCCTTCTTACCATCGGTGGACAGGTAGCAGATCAAAGACGCGTGGCGGTCCAGTGATTCCCTTCTGATCAGGTCAGATCAGTGGCGCCGTCTGTGGAAACATTAACTTCCCTGTTCCTCCGAGCAGAGAACCAAAGTTTCACCTTTCAACACTTCAGAATCATGACTAGCCCACGCCATGATGACGTTGTTCACAACTCTTCCGTCGTCCCCACCGCCAACGGCGACGGTCACATTGGGACTTTTCTACTCCGTGAGACCAACGTCAGGGACGGCCAAACTGCCTCCCCTTCCCCCGAGGACACACCGCACCATGAGGTTCCTCGAGCAAGAAGCCCGGCAGTGTTTCAGCCCATCAACCAGACAAATCAGATGTTGTTCCAACAGAACCAGGGCATTGGCGCGCTCGAACACGAGGCCCTGTCCCGCTCCCCTCTGCGGGAAGAGCCGTATGGGAACTCGCGGAGTCAATCACCTCGTCCACGAAGTCGCCGACCACAGCTGGAGAGGCTCTAACCAGTTGTCTCCAAGAAGCAGGCGAGGTCACCGACCAGGAAAGAGAAGCGAGCCCAGGAGCCGAGGACGACAGGGGTGGAGCCTCCGATCAGGAAACTGAGGGTACGAAACCAACCCCCTCATCGACACGGGCCCTCGCCTTCTCCGTCCCCGATTCTCAACGACGAGGACGACTACAGGACCCCCTTGTCTCGAGAGATCTTGACAACTCCCATCCCCCACGGGATGGAAAAACCACCTGTGATCTCGACGTACGACGACACCTCAAACCCGGACGACCACCTGGAAGATATCGAGGCTATGCTCGACTACCGCAACGTCCGGGGAGCCATTAAATGTAGGCTCTTCCCGACGACCCTGTGGAAAGGCGCTATGACATGGTACAAGAGCTTGGAGCCAGAGTTAGTCACATCGTGGAGGGTTCTAAAGGACCTCTTTTCACGACACTTCACGGCATCCTGATGCCACCCGAAGACAGAAGTCGCGTTGGGCGCGATCATCCAAGCCCCCGACGAGCCCCTCAGGAACTACATCGAGAGGTTCACAAAGGAAACGGTGCAAGTAACGACTTCAGACGATATAAAGCGCTACCTGATAGAGCAAGGCCTACGACGGGACTCCAAATTCTATGAGGTCGTGGCCATCCATCGGCCAGACTCCCTCCAAGATTTCCTCGACCTGGCTCGCCATTATATCCGGTTCGAAGAAACACAAGCTGCTAACTCCGTCCGTGACACCAGGGACAGAAAGAACCCCGCGGGTCCTGAGACGATGGAGCCTCAATCCACCGGCACGGAGGAGACCGACGACGGGAGGACCGCCACCGAGAACCCCGCGAGCAGCGGGGCCCGACTAGTCGGTTCACATAATACACTGCACTAATCACTTCCCGCGAGCGCATATTGGCTGAGTGCGCCAAAAAGGAGTTTGTCCATGGGGTGTCCGTTTTCCCAAACCGGCACCCACCAAACCCAACATGGACAAATCGAAATACTGTCGATTCCACCAAAGCCACGCTCACGTAACAGAGGATTACATCCACCTAAAGGACGCGATCGAGATTCTGATCAAGGACAGGCATCTTAGAAGATACACCCGAGGAGGAGAGCCCCCGCGGAAGGAGGTCCCCGAAGCTAAAAGAGTCGAGGACCTCCCTCCCCTGGAAGGTGAGTCCGGTCTACAGGTTGCTCTCAGCGTCAGCCGACCTGAGGACTGGTTCGCCCTCAGGGAGTTCAGCCTTCCTGCCAAACTTGAGCTACCCGAGGAGCCAGTACGCCCCACTAGCCGGTGGGAGTATTTCCCGTGGGCAATGGTCATCTCTGGAGGGAACCCAAGCAAGCTATCGGTGGGGTCAGTTAAATGGAACTTCGACGAGCTTATCAGCAACAACTCCGGCAAAATGAGCATGCTCGACAAGTTCCAAGGTCGTTCCAACCCGATCACCTTCTACCTCGAGGAACTCGCCGGGGGAGCCCCAAACTCAAACATTCCCCTCCTGATCCGAGCACAGATGGCTAACTTCGATGTCCGACGCATCCTAGTCGACGGGGGGAGCTCGGTGAACATCATGTACACCCATCTCTTCGCGACGCTTCAGCTCGACGAATCCAACTTATCACCCTACCTAGGCTCCAATCTACAGGGCTTCAACGGGACGACTACGAGACCATGGGGGTACGTCGAGCTCAAGGTCACCTTCGGGGAGAAGGAAACGACCAGGGAAATCAACGTCCGTTTTCTGGTTGTCGAGTGCCCATCTCTATATAACTGCATCCTGGGCAGAATGACGATGGTCGAACTCACCGTGGTGCCATCGGCTGTCCGCCTAAAGATGAAATACTACACCAGACTTGGAGCCGTCATCACCCTCAACGGGGATATCGAAGCCGCCCGACGATGCTTCGACGCAGCGATGAAGGCTCTCAACACAATCGGTCCCCCAACCAAAGCGACCAAGTCACCTCCTACCCGGGAGGTCAAACCGAAAGATCACGTCAATGCTATAAACCTTGATTGTCGCTTCACCGAAGAGCCTAACCACGAGGATGAATTTGGTGAAACCAACGGGCAGCCTTCCCACCCAACACGCCCCATTCCTGACGAAGACTTTGAGCTCGTAACCCTCGGGGCAGACACAACGAAGACCGTGAAGATTGGGGCGGGACTGCCCGACCTCGCGAGGAAACAACTAGAGGCCTGCCTCCGTGAGAATGCCGATCTCTTCGCTTGGAGCACCGCGGAGATGCCCGGACTCGACCCTGAGGTCGCCTTCCACCAGCTCTTCGTCAACCCGACCTCTAGGGCCGTAGTGCAGCGTAGGCGTAGGCAGTCCCCCGAAAAGTCGACGGCGGCTGAAAAAGCTGTAAAAGACCTCCTAGAGGAAAATTTTATTTCGGAAGCCCGGTATTCAACCTGGTGTTGCACCCCAAAATTTGACCAACCTTTTTCTTAATATTTGGCTTATGTTTCATTGCATTTTTGCATTTTTGCATTTGCATAGCATAGTTCTTACAGGGGATCAAGTGTTTGTTTGTGTATCATCCAAGAGGAAAGTCTTTATTGGTTTCAAGCTCAAGCAAAGGCACTGGTACAAACCATCAGAATGTTGT